TTTCATTTATATATAATTCACGTGTTTATAAAACAGCCATTTACCTTTTGGCCTGATTTGTGGTGTTGAAGGTTCCTCTCTTCGCCGTGGTGTCTCTTCCCAGTCTTTGTGGGAACGCCTGCTTGAATATTCAGAATATCGTTCTGATTTGTCTCTGTCCCTACTTCTTTCACTTCGACGAGAACCTAGAATTGCATATATGGTATTATATAATATTTATATAGCATGAACAATCAATCATAAGTAGCATACTTTATTACATCTATATATGCAATAAATTATAACTAATATTGTTATTATGGCCAAAGACAGTCATGCTTCAATATACTTGAATGCATTTACTTAATCTTAAAATATGTTCATAAGGTAATTATATCATACGTGCACTGTGTTTACTACTGAATAAAATGAAAACTGCTTAAACAGTAAGATAATAAATGTTCTTGGCTTCAAACCATGCCATAGGTTCACAATTTCTACAGAATTATTTAGTGTAGAGCATTTACTTTTGTCTTTACTTCTTCTATAATCTCTCTCCTTCGTTCTTTCTTTGTCTTTGGATTTAGAACTAGAAGCATAGACTCCACGTTCCCGATCTCTGTCTTGTCGCTCATACAGTCGCTCCTTAAATTCATTGCTGACACCACCTGTATAAGAGGGTGTCTCTACTCTTGATCCTCGGTAGTGCCTATTAAAAACGGTATATGAGGTTCTTCTCTTTTACATGACTAAAATAATGCAAGTGTTTACAGATTGTTTGTGGAGTACGCATTTTAACTTCTGAGGTCACAACAAAATTATTTACAAATACACTGTTTGAGGTGTTGAAGTTTTATGCAATAATTTTAATTTTAGAATCTCTGCTATCAAGTTCTTTCACAATGAGCTATGAATTTTGATATAGCTTTAGAATGACACTTATTAAAAAATTGCAACTTAAAATCTAACTCGCTATTGTTTTTATTTTCCAATTCATTTGTTCCCAAGTTTTATATTATAATTTATAAATCAAAAATAAAAGGCTAAAACCTAGGTAATAAAATAGTGTAACACATAAAATACAAAGGAGTGAGTGGAATTTAAAAAAATTCTATGCAGATTTGTCAAGAAATACACAAACAATAAAATCCTTTTTTTTCATTTCACATACATCTACCTATCTAACACAAAATACACATACAATAAAATAAAAGACAGCACAAGACAATAAAGTCATAACTTAAAGGAAAGTTGATGGAAGTCCACACAGTCTGTTGAGGTTACCTCTCCTTTTTATTTTTTAATCCAACATACTTTTCACTCACATAGATGTATATGTAATTATATTAAATAGAATGTGCATATGTGCAGGTAAAAGATCAAAAATGCACACACAATGTTGACATACTTCACAATGAAATTTAATTTATTAAAAGGAGGACTCCCAATAACTGTGCACCACTAAAACTCGTAGTCTTTTTCTAGGGCAGTGTCCCACTTATGATAAATCAAATTTTATTGTGCAATGTGCCAATGCTGTGTGTGTATACATATGTAATAAAAACTTTAAAAAATTGTCAACTCAATGCACAAACAATATTATCAGGTAATCCATTCCACAAACTTATAACCTTACCCAAAATATAGTCTGCATCTAAACTTCCAAAATCTTAAACCTAATACCCTTGACTTTTTCATTTAATAATTCCAACAACCAAAATACAGATTCATTAGATCCCTAAAATTTAAAAAAATAGTATCAAAAGCTCCATCCTCATTTTTTTTAAAGCTCCAGTTAAGACAAATTCAAAATTCTATGCTACTCCTCATAACTTAAATGACTTATACCGGTCTCTGAACTCTTTCTGTAATAAAATAATCAAATCTGCACACAGTCCTCCAAATGAGGCTTCACAAGGCTCTGTTAAAAACTATAAAAACCTTTTTGTTCATATATTCCAACAAAAGAATCAATAACCTGCCCTTTTCACAATTAAATTATTCTTTTTTAAAAAAATACTAATACTCTCAAAACATATAAGCAAATCCTTTTTAAAATATCCATGCACTAAGTACACAACTTTATAATTTTCAATTTTAAAACTCATTTCCATGTTTTGATTTATAAACTCTTCAAATAGCTATCAAAACTTAAAAAAACATTGAATAAGAGGTTTTGAAACAGATGGACACATTAGTCACCTTCTGGTTGGAAAAAATGACCATTACCACCAAGCAAATGTTTTACCCATTTCTTAACTTTTTCACCAATCTCATACGGATCCAACTCACAAATCAATCTCTTGTGAGGCACCTTATCAAACGCTTTCTGAAATTCAAAGTACACAACAAGTGAAATATATTCACCAACAAAGGTGAAGGCACAATGAAACAAAATCTCTGACAAATTAATTGGACAAGAAAATCCTTTCCCAAAACAACATTAATAACCATTAAATCTTAAACTACTGTCATGTTTTTATACTGTTCACTACTGTTGGAATCCACATATTGCACCATAATGAGGAATTTTTTTTTCCTTCTACAACACTCAGTGCAAAAACTAACTAAATTTCTACATAAAATACATAAGGGACATGCTAGAATAAATGGTGGGATTTAATGCAATACTAATGGTATTTTTGCTAATTTTTTTTATGTGGCTCACATGTTACAAGGAATCCTGTAATTGACAAAGTAATTGACCCAAAAGCAATTTAGCTTCTAAAACAGTTTAGAAAAATATATTTTAGAAGCTGATGGAGTTCTAGGGTTACTTAACTGCCAAATTTCCAAATGATTTTCTACATAACTTCTGAAAACCAATTCTAAACCCTTCCTAAACTCAGAAAGGAGATCTCTCCATGCTTATCTTTTTTGAAAATAGTTATTACAGTGACAATCTTAGAATCACCAGAAATTTTCACAGTACTAAGAGACTTCTGAAAACATAATTTAAAAAAACCTTCAGCAATAAATACATTAGTAGAAATTGTTTCTAGCACTTTAGCCATGTTCCTTTTTTTTTCAAAATAGGTTTCTTGTTGATGTACTCTTTCAAGATTAAGTTATCCATAAATTTGTTCATTCAAATTGAGTACAAAACATATTTTATTCAATACCTTACCTTGCATGAGTTTTTTCTTTAGAATGTTTATCATCATCCTCTTCAACATCTTCATCTTCATCCCAGTCATTCTGATATGATGAAACTTTTGAGCGTTTCATTTCTTCTACTTCATTGAATTCTTTTTCTTTTCTCTTTTGAGCTGCCAGGACATCCAGACCAAGAAGAGATTTTTTAGGATGTGGTGGTTTAAATACAACATTTTCACCCGCTTGTGATTTTGGTTTTTTAATTACTAATCCTCCAACTTCTTCCTGAATACCTTCTAAACGATGAATGGATTGATGATCAAGGTTCATCTCATATATAGATATTTGACTGTAAAAGGAGTCATGGTTAATTTAATTCTAGGAAACAAATCTATAAGCTTGAATAAGAATTAAAACAAAACAGCAACATAATGTAAATTCACATTCTAGGTTTAGAATTTGCATGATACACAAAAATTGAAAGATATAAATTAAAATACGAATACAATTTTGACACATTTAGAACAACAGTTACACATGAAAAATTTATTGCTAAAACAAATATAAATAAATTCTACATCAGTTATATCTGTGCTTCAAAAAGTCAGATCAATAATAAATGGCACAAGCACAAAATGTACAATTTTTCACTTACAAAATTAAATTCTGTTTAAATACAATTTATTATTCAATTAAAAGTTACACAATTATTTTGATTTTTGGTTGTATTTTGAATTAAACTTAATCTACAGAAAATATAAATAAGTGTACTAATTTCTATTGAAAAACACTGATTAATTTTACCACCTTACCCAAAATAGGATGTGTTAAAACTAGTTTTTCTCTTGTATTTCATTCACACTGTATGTCATCATCAATATGAAACACTGCTTTAGTATATTAACAGCTTGTACAGTGTTTGAATAATGTTGCACATGTTTATCTCATATCTAAAGAACTTTTTTTTTACTTCAAAGCATTTACTTGCAGATATTCCAACAGCATCTATCAAGTTAATAGCTAAACAGTACACCTTATGTCATTTTCAATACTTTAACAGTGCTTTGATGGTGAACCAATCATGCAAACTTTTCTGTGCAATGTAGAATTACGTAAAATTCGTAGAAGCTTTCAGTGCCAAATATCTATGTATTGATAACCAAGAGCCTATTTGCAGATATGTATTTGTTGACTGGCAATCAAAAATCAGAAATCTTTGCAGAACTATGTCAATTTGGATATCCTTTATGATATTTATGATGTTTAGTTATATTGCTCTATATATGAACAAACACACCTTTTCATTAAAACATTAATAAAAATGCCCAAGCATCAAAAATTCAGCATATATTGCTGCCTTTTGTTACTCAGTATTCTAACATCAAACTCAATACTTTCAATAATACAACCCTTATATAGGAAAGTTAACATTTTCCTAAACTGAAAATGTATTTCTAATAGATACTGCCACTTACAAATAGCTTTTCTCAATTTATACTGCCCTCTATATGCACAAATATTTGCTCGCAACTAGCCTTGATAATACCACTTGTCCTCACATGTATTCATATGATACATATGCATGCTATCATATAAATGATCATGCAGCAACCCTCCACCAATATGAGTGTGACACAACTATCATCACCAACGTTCTCTCTCTTCCATGCAACCCAAAAATCACTTTGAGATTGGGTAGTACAAACAAAACCAACACTAAAAGTGGGAGGACAGGAGGGAAATGTAAGAAGAGGTAAGTATCTAATGGAAATACATTTTCAGTCTAGAAAAATGTAAACTTCTAATACATTATCTTACCTTGTCTCATAAATAGATAGAATCCCACAATAAGTTAGCAGAGGATCTGGTGAGAAGATGATCCCCCTTTAGAAAGTGCCTGTAGAAAGACCAAGGGGAATGCAAATAAAGGGAAGGCAACACCCCCAAGGGAGAACCAAACCACTTCTGAGCCAGGTATACTCTTCACCTATGAGAAATTGTGTTACAAGAAGGTTGGAAATAATAGAAGGACCTAGAAGATGGTTGTGTGATGCTAGATATCACAGGTGGGATAGGAGAGGCATGATTTGCCTCCGTGCTGGAAATATTAATTCAAAAATTCATACCATAAATAGGCTTGCCAATCAGAATAAAAAAAGGAACATTTTTTATTCATTTATTTGTTTTTATTTTTTATATATTCATTATAAATTACTATTATGAAAATCAATAGATAACACTGATAATGGTCAAAGTATCTCTAAATGATCGTAATACTGAGAAACCCGTTAATGACACCTTGTCAAGAAAAAGTGACAACATTATCTGAATAAGTTGCATATATAAAGTACTAGGATAGAAGGTGCATTGACATAGGTGCTGAGTGTCATGAGACAAATATTGCCAAGGGCAATTAAGTAGGGTATACAAGACTGGAGCAAGCACGAAAAAATCAGACCAATGCTTAGATGGGCAAAGGAAGAAACCCTGGCAGTCGAGTAATAGCTATAAATGGGATCGGAAGTATGTAGGTATTGGAAGTTGATAATCCTGGCCCCCACAGGTCCCAAACCCACAATGTATTCACAGAGACTGTAGGTAGCCCCAAAAATGGTGTCCCAAGTACTGACACCACAATTCAGAAATATGAGAAACTGTAACTGACGAGGAAGAGGAAGGAGGAGGGCAAGACACAGAAACAAGTACAGGAGGGTTTTGGGATAAATGGGAGGCCAAGGAAGAGAGGGAGATATGCAGCCAGGTTGAGTCAAAACCCTGGACTTCAAAAAGTTATAGGAATGCCCCAAAAACCTCCTGACATAGAAAAGGTGTCATGTGCAAATCATGCAATAAGGAGAAAGTCAAATGAACCCAAGTGAAAAGGACATGCCAACCCAAAAGATCACAACGACAGATCAACTATGCTTGCAATGCCAGGGGAGAAAAGGAGAGGTGTGCTAAGGTGGAAAACGAGATTCCGAGTCTCCATCAAAAAAACCCTTTGCAGAGTAATGAATAGCCTCAGACATGTCTATGGAGGACAAGGTATAAAGAAGAGCAGACAGGTGAGACAAATGTGGGAAAACTGAGGCTGGGAAAAGGAAACCAAAGTATTAGGGTCAGAAACCCACAAAGAGATAAGGGACTCCAAACATTGCAAGTCTAAAAGTGAAAATCTGAACAATGATATGACATAACCAGACATGGGGTCATCAGTAATCATAATCGATTACATTTTCAAAGTAGTCATAATCATAATCAGAAACTTGTAAGGCCTAGTATCGTAATGAATTGTAATCATAATCTGTGATTACAATATGATCACGTTTAAAATTTTAGATGTCTTTCTACTTCAAAAAATGCATTTCTGGCAGTAACATTTTAGAAGTGGTTTTTCACAGCTTCCCAATTACCTGCACACAAACAAAAGATCTTCAGACATCAATCAATACATTACCCATTAATTCAATGCCCCTCAGCCCTGGATCACTAATCTTAGAGGAGCAGGTGTGGTGAATTAAAAAGTAATTATTCATTCCTAGCCCAAGATAAGTGCATCTCCAGATTGGAGGCTAGTTTATAGTTTAATTCTGGTGCACTCTAGGCTAAAGGATAAGTGGTAATCTTAAGTTAATATTGTAAAAAACTGATGTATTTTCAAATTGCAGCCACCAAGACACCAGTTTTTCAACATTTTAATTCTTCCGACAGAAGTACTTTGCACAGTTATAAGGCAAAATATAAACACTGTTCAATATCAATTTCTGCTACAGGAAAGACTACATCAAATTAGCATAAGCATCTGCAGGTAATGATATTTTTTTTCCAGTAAACAATTATTTTTTGTTATCCATGAAGATTATTTAGATTGATGCAATAAAATATCATTTACCATCAATCCATCATATTATTTTGGATATTAATTTCAGGCTTCCCTGTAATGATGATAGATTGATTGTCAGACTTGTTATAATGTTATTCAATGCTCTATTTTCAAAAACTCAGATTGTTTTTTTTTTTCAGAGGAAACATACTGATGTTTATGAAAGCCTAAAAAAAACAGGCCAGTAAGAGCAAGTTAACCGACCTGGATTACTTTCCTTTATATGCAAGCAACAAAATCCTACAACGAAATGGCAACCTTCAGATTCAGGTCAACAACAAGCCATCCCAGAGGCTATTGTCACATTCATTGCTAAGGATTTAATGCCCCTCTCAACTGTTGACAGTAATGCATTTTGCAACTTACTTAGCATCGCAGAGTCCCATTATACCATGCCTTCACAGAAGCATCTTAGTGGTATGAGGTGGTATTCTTTCATTTTTGTTAATTATTATTATGGTTATACTTACATACTTTTTCCTCTATCATTTAGTTGGACTTCCTCTTCAGTTTGTTTATGCATAAAGCTGGCTCATACCTTGTTATAGTTAATAGAGTAATACTATTTTCACAGTGAGACAAAATAACACACTATGAGGCACTGAGGTTTATGTCACAATAGCTAGCATGTAAATATGTTGATCACATATTTTGTCCATAGCTAATAACTGTACAATGTTGAAGCATGATCTTGTCCCATAGCAACCAAAAGACAACTGAAGACTGAGATGCCAGATGTTCAAGAATATAGAGAATATACTGGATATTGCTTGAAACACAGTTTGAAGTGTTGTTACAATTAAGCAGTTTCTAAGTGTTGTATTATCAAACTAAATTTTGTGATTAAGTTATTTTTTTCTTTTTAGTTCTTTTTCCTAACTTCTTATGTCAAGCAGATATTATTGAAGGTTATGCCAAGATTATCTTGTTAAATTAGAAGTTCATGTGTTGTTTCAAGATTATATTATTGAATTAAAAGCTCTTTGAAGTTTAGATGTATTGTTGTAAAAGTGCAGACCCAGCATTTTTAAACTGTAAATTTTGTTTCACATATAAAATTTCAAATAAATACTTTTCTTAAAATTTTAGTAATAGTATTAACATGTAGATTATTCTTAATAAAGAAAAAATTATTCATTACAATAATGTCTCATGTATAATATAAAAATAATTAAATGCACATATCACTATTTGATCCAGAGATACCGTGCTATCACTATTACTGTATCTGTGCCACACATCTAGAAATAGTATAATTCATTCTACAAAAGTTGCGCTTAGTAATAGCAATTTCCTGGAAACAGTTGGACAGAGAAGTAAAAATATACTCAAGTGTTTTTATATATATAAATAACAATGATACTGTAAAAATAACACCCCTTGACGAAAATTAAAACAACTATGTTATTATAATTTATAATCCACTCATCCATACCGTGTCTCACATCAGGCGTATTCATGATATTGTGTCCTAATAATGTTAGGCTTATGAAGTTATTTAAACCTCAAATTAAAGCTCTATACTCAAATACAAGTTCAATGGAACTCTAGCAAAACATTATCAAAACAATTCTTATTATTACTTACTCAAATTGTTTTCAATGCTGTAGTATAAATAAAGTTAGCCGTCACGGGAGTTTTTGTTATCTACTATATCAAAAACTCGCTCACGCTATTATAGTTAACATGGCCCTCTGGTGTATACCATTTAATTATTAGAATATTATTATTATTATAGATGTGTTTAGTCTCCTTCGAATTATTATATTTTAAGAATATATTTATTTATTTCGAAACTGCAGAAGACATGAAACAGATAAATATAGAAAATATGTTCTCGTACACAATGCATGTTATATTGTTGTAAGCTATATTTTCCATTTTAAAATTTCAACATAACATGATGTTTATAGACAACAAGGAACCTATTGGTCCATCCACTGATCTAGGCTGTCCCATCCTTTAAACTAAAACTATAAGAAAAATAAAATAACATAAAATAACTTATGAAACGTTACTATAATGTTAAGATCGAGTTAATTTATTTCTCTTATCAACTTTTTGTGTTTTAATATTAAACTACGTATTATGAACTGACTTCGGTATTGTCATTGCCCGCAGAAACCATCAACTCTTGGCTACTCTTTACCAACGAATAGTGGGATTGACAATCACATAATAATGTTCCCATGGCAGAAAGGGTGGACATGTTTGCAACTCATGACTACAAAAAATCGCCCTCTGCACTTTGGATGCGTTATATCTCACTATTTAGTCAGCCCAGAGCAGCAAAATATTGTCGGTTAGTGCTATTGACGCACAGTCTGTCTAATCTATCAGTTCAAAATTAGGGAAAGATAGCATATATAGTTTTCGCGAATATCCGAAAACAAACAAACAAAATCAGTCACATCATGTATAGGGCCAAAGTTTGACAGAGCACTGAAGGTCAAAAATCTGATTCTCACATTCTTCAGCTATAGTGCATATGTAGTTACCACTTCTGAGTAACAGTGATTTTTGTATCTTGCTAATACCTTTGATGTGAAAAGAACGATACTAAGTACTTATATAATGCTTTTGTATTACCTAATAAAACTTTGACCAGTTTCTATGCATAAAATAAAGAAAGGATAAACTAGGAGAAAATCTCAGAAAGATCAAACTGGACGAAACAAATAATATACCACCACCTACTGGCTGCAGTACAAGGTAATCTATACACATAATTTCTCTTTGCAAAAACAATATATTAATATTATTATGTTAATATTGCTTATTTTATGAACATCCCAATAAATTTAATAACAAGTAATTCAAAAATGTACACTGGCTCTGTTAAATTTATCTCTGAAGAAAAGGAAGGTATTTCAGCCACTGTATTGTAAGATGTCCTCTGTGTAACAGTTTACTCTTAGGACATACCCAAAGAGCCTAAATCTGTTCATTCCAGTAATTATGCCGTTATTACTGTTTTCGTTAGAATTGTTATGATTATTCAGATATGGACAAATTCTTGTCCTTCATGAAAATACCTAGAATCCAGCAATCAAAAACATGAAATACATTTTACGTATATAAATGCTAACTTCCTTTATTATGCATTTAAAAACAGTTGTAATAAATTTTTAAAAACAGTCTAAAATCCATTTTTGCGGCAAAATAAGATTCAGTTGAGCTCTGGAGTATTGAGGTACACGGATGTTCAACAGTTAGAATCTAGTATCCGCAAAACGCAGGTTCTGGAAATATTATGCAGAGTAACATTTTAAACGTGGACAGCAAAGGAAATACGAATGCACAATTGTAGGGATCAACAAAAATCGTTATTAATACAATAAATAAAGTGCAAATGTGTGTCTTTGACTCATTGGCTAGCCTTCATATTCAAAGAATAACTGCACCTGGCTGCTGGAGAAATGGCTTCCAAATACATCTGCATCAGAAAAGGCTTGGTTCGTTTTGAATTTCATACAAAGCCAAATGAAGGGCTATCTGCACTAGTCGTCCCTAAGTTAGCATTGAGAGATTAGAGGAAATATAACTAGTGAACACCACCCTCTGCCAACTCTTGGGCTACCCTTTACCAATGAATACTGACCATCACATTATAACACCTCTACGGCTGAAAGGGTGCACATGTTTGGTGAAGCATATTCAAACCTGCGACCCTCAGATTCCAAACCAATATCCTTAAATACCAAGCCATGCATTGAACAAGGACCAAAAAAAGAATAATGAAATAGTATACTTGCAATTCAGGCCACTGTCCAAGTGTGGTATCCCACAATCCCTATATTACCTAGGTTAATGACTATTCCACATAACCATATATAAAGGAGAAAACTCCCAACTCATTCTAACTTACCCCCCACCTTAAAAAGCAAGAGTATTATTGTATATTTATTACCTTTGCACGTCTGATTTACCGGGAAGAAGCTAATTACATGCTGAACAACTGCATGAAAATCATAGCACTCAGTCATTACCACCATAACATCAAACAATATTTTCACCTTTTCCCGCAGTTGAGCATAAAATGAGTAGTTCCTAGTAATACAACCATCTTATAGAAGAAAAACGGTCCTCTATTTATGCAAACTTGTGTCTTAATTATTTACAAAATTTTTAAGTCATAAACAACATAAGCCTTACCAGCTAACTCAGCTAATTCTCCCTGATCTTTCCACAGAGTCTGGGTGCTAAACATCCAGAACTTGGTTTATTTGCCCAATAACATAAGGATGGTAGAGAACATATATATCTATAAATGTTCCCCTATACTAAGTTTTTGATTCAGCAAACAAATGTATCCTTGTTGCTCATAATTCATTAATTTTCTCATCTTTCTCCATCACTGAAAGAAACTGTGTTATTCTTAGATGCTGCCTGTAATGTAAAATACACTAATCTGACTCAAACTGAAGTGAAAAATTATTATAAAATAAGTAATTTACTGTTATATTACACACCCTAAATCTCATACTCTTTTTATTTTAAGCAAACAAATTACAGGTGATTTCAGATGATACAATGGAAGAGTCCTGTTACATTGTAATTTATAAAGATCTGACATGAGCATGTTTGAAGTAAAGCCACTGCTATAAATTTGATATTTCTCTGTGAACTTGAGTGATCAGATGTCCACAATAAATGTTAAAGAGTTTTGCTTTAAACTTAGAATAGTTATCTTGTCAATAGACAGAAAAGTATTCAGTTTAAATTATGAAAGAGAGTGTTCTATTGTTGGAGAACGATGTCATGAAAACCAGTAATAAGGACTTTACTATCACCCCTTTTAGTTTAAATAAGTGTGTGGAAGCATTTGTTTAAAGTCCGGATTATAAAGTGGTTAAGAGGTAAATTGGTGTTGATGTGAATAATCAATCGTAATAATATTGTCAGATGTGAATACAAGGAGTTCTGGTATATTGTAGTAATGCAACTCTCTATGTATAGTTTAATGCCACAGAGGTAAGGTGATACATTTTTATGAAAAAAGTTAAGAGCTGCTCCAGTATTTTATTCACTTATTCATTTTGGTAATGGCGACAAAGAAAAGTGGTGAATTTATTTACTTTATTATCGCAGTTATAACATAAAGGTTCACAAGAAAACTAGTACTGGTGTGTTTGTTGTTTAGCATAAAGCTACACAATAGACTATCTATGCTCTGCTCACTGCAGGTATGGAAAACCGATTTTTCGACATTGAAAGGCCTCAGATTTACAGCTGAGTCACTTAGCTCATCTTGGATACAGTAGTGTTTAAAAGTGGAAACAAGCTATGGGCAGTGAATGACTAGAAGTATGTAACGTGGCATAATGAGTTACAATTCATCATTTCCTGTACTGATGGTAGAGTAAGATAAAATAAGAAAAGACACCTGACCCTGCTTATATTGTAATAGCATTACAAACTGTTGGGAGTAGTGTAGGGAATGTTCCCATGGCAGAGACTGGGCCCTTGATTCCACTAGAATATTGTATGACTTCCACAGTGTTCCTAAACATTCTTCTGGCAGCATTTAAC